CCGCGCCCGCCCCCAGCTCCTCGCCTCGTCTCCGATCGCTGGCCCGGGCGAGCCGGCGCAGAGTCTCGGCGCCAGTCGGGCCCCATCCTCCAGAGGGCTCCGCCACGAGGGGGATGAACACGCTCCCCTGCTGCTGGCACTGCCGCTCTGTGTCGAGGTGGTTCCTCTTCACCAACTCGTACTCCTGCGCCGCGCGCCCCACCTCCTGGAACGCCAGGACACGGGCAGCCTGCCTGTGCGGCGAAGACACCGCGAAGTCGAAGGCAGCAGGCGCCCCCTGGAACCAGAAGGGAATGTAGACATCTGCAGGCCGGCGCCCATTCACCTGGACGTCGTCTGGGCGGGGCGGTAGGAGGCCAGGTTGCTCGAGCGTCGGGTTGAAACCCGCACTGGTGGCGAAGGTGCCGACCACGTTCCTCGCCCCGTTGTGCCGGTGGACGCGATCCCCGGCCCCCGCGCATAGTCCTGCGTGCCGGCCGTGGCGGTCGCAGACGTCCTCGCAGCAGGGGCAGAAGTGCTCAGTCTCGTACACGGGCATGAGGAGCCTGCGCTTGACCTCGCACGCGAATTCCTCGGGTTCGAAAAGGGGCCCCAGCTGCTCGCTGGGCTGCGCCACGAGGAAGTCTGACGCGCCAGGCAGCATCTCTGAATTGATGTCAGCGCGGTCAGCTGCCCCCAAGCCCGCCAGAAAGGTCTGGTGCCCGCGTTTTCCACCGCGGCAGAGAGCTGCTTCTGCGTGGCCCTAGCGCCGCCGGGTCGAGGCCGTCCGCCGGCGCCAGCAGGGCGTTGTACGCCAGGAGCGCCTGCCCCTCCAGCGTAGCCGCGCTGTCCGGCGCCCACGCGTAGGCCGGGTCAAGGTCGCAGCACAGGTGCCGCGTGGCTGCGAGGCTGGCCAAGTAAGCGCCGGGCGCGTGTGCTGACAGCTCCCGCAGACCGAGCCCCGCGTGGGCGAGCCCTCTGGCTGCCTGGTGCCACTGCGCGTCCGTCAGGTCCGCCGCCAGCAGGTTCGACAGCGCGCGCCGCTGGCCGTCGTCGAAGCAGTGCAACGCTTCCGAGAGCAGAGCAGACGGCGCCGTGCGGGCGCTGTACACGAGTTTCGCGTAGCTCGCGCAGTAGCGCAGGAGCGCGAGGCCCACCTGGGGGTGCAGGTTGGCCAGCGCCTCCAGGGCGGGCTTCGTCTTGTCGGCGCGGCGCTAGGTGAACGCCTCGCAGTAGTCCTTCGCCCCAATAGGCGCCCCCAAGAGCTTGAAGCCGCCTCTGAGGACAACGCGGTCGACCCCCGTCTCTGCGTCCGCCAGGAGAGGCGCAGGGAAGAGGTCTGCCAGGCCGCCCGGCCTGCGTTTGCAGGGGACTACGAGCTCGCACTTGCCGATGTGGGGCAGGAGGCCCAAGTCAGGGCAGCGGCGCTGCAGAGTCGCTAGTGCTCGCGCCACAGCCTCCTTCGAGCCCGCCAGGAAGCCGTCGTCCAGGTAGAAGGCGCATAGGTCCAGGTCTGCAGCGCCCGCAAGCTCCTCCAACACCGCGTGTACGGCGAGGGCGAAGATCAGGGGCCCTAGCGGGTCCCCCTGTTGTACGCCTGCCTGCGAAGACATCACATGGCTGCCAAAACACAGATTGGAGGGCTCCGCGTAAGCCCAGCGCGCCCAGCGCTCCAGCTCCGGGAAGCGGGCACGGACAGCGCGCAACGCGGGGTCACGGTGCAACGAGTTGAAAGCGTTTGCAAAGTCGAGCTTGAGCAGCACCTTGTCGTCCTCGTCTGCATTTCGCTCGCACCACTGGCGCACGGCGTGAACCGTGGCTTCAGCCCCCAGGGGGCTGCAGCAGCCTGTCTGCAGCGGCCAGAGCATCTGGCGCGCACGACCCTTGACGTGGTCGCAGAGCACCTTGCTGGTCAAGCGGCGCAGGACCTCGCCGACCGCGATCGGACGAAGTCCCCCGTCGTCCTTTTCCAACGCCACCAGCTTCGCACCTGCCAGGTGCGGCGCCAGCTCCCGCGGGGCCTCTCCGTTGGCGAGGGTCTGGCACGCCGCGGCGAGCAGCTCCGTGACCGTCGCCCGGGTGGCTGGGGTCATGGCGTCAAGCAGGTGCTGTGCTCGGAGGCCGGAGGGGCCAGGGGCCGTCCCTTTCGGGAAGGCTCGCAGCGCCCGCAGCGTCGAGTTCGGCGTGAGCTCGGGCGCGGCCAGGAGTTGGTCCAAGTGCCCCAGCGGGAGGGCAGCCGCAGGAGGGTGCAAGCGCTCCAGCGCACGAGCTGTCTCCTGCGTGGGCTCGGCGAGGCCCCCAGAGGTCAGAGCAGCGCAGCCCTTCCCCCAGAAGCCCTCCGCAGCGCAAGCGGTCGCGCGAGCTGCCCTCTGCTCAGTCGTCGGCGCCTCCTGCCGCCGGCGCCGCTGCCCTGCGTTGCGCGCGCGCGCCTCCTGCCAGAGCGTCAGGCGCTCCCTAGCGTCCCAGCGCGCGAGGCGGTCGATTGTGAAGGCGGCCAGCGCAGCTTTGTCCTCGCGGCCGGCACGGGGCGGCAGCCTCATGCCTGAGTGAATTGAGCAGAACTCTCAGGCTGGAGCTCCCTTCCCTGTAGGGCTCCCCCATATCCGATGGGGGCCATCCAGAACCTGTAATGATTGGCGCCGCTTGGGGTCTATATGGAGGTCGCCTCGAGCGGTAGCCTTGTCTGTGAGTGCGCTGCGAGGACGTCTCCGGCGGAAGCTCTCTCCCCATGCCCTCCCCCCCGATCATGCTACCAATCTGGGCGCCATCCCCAGCCTGTCACTACTGGTTACTGTCGCCTCGGGGCTTCAGATGGTTGAGTTTGTAGGAAGTCTTGAGCGGGAGCTTTCTCAGCGAGTCGCGAGGAGGTCTCAGGCGGGAGCCCCGCTCCTATCTCCCAAAATAGCCCCCCAGGTTAGTTACCCATCCGCAGGGCTCACCCGAACCATGGGGTTCCTGAGGACTCCCAGCCGTCGTCACTCTTGGGTTCCTGAGGGCTGAACCTGGAGGAAGTCTCGAGCGGGATTCTCATGTGTGAGTGAATTGCGAGGAGGTATCAGGCGGGAGCCCCGTCCTTACGGACCCCCAGATCATCTCACCGATCCGGAGGGGGTGGTTACCCCAAACATGTCACCGCCAAGGTGATAGACTGAGCCTGGAGACAGTCTCGAGCGGGAGTTTCATATGTGATTGCACTGCGAGGGGTCCTTAGGCGAGAGCCCCTCCCTATCTCTTTATAGAGCCCCCCTCTAGATCATGCTACCAATCCGAGGGTGTCACCCGAGTCCTGTAATGAACTGTCTTCACTTGTGATCTCCTGCGGGCTGAGTTTGGAGGAACTCCCGAGCGCTAACCTCGTGTGTGAGTGGATTGCGAGGAGGTCTCAGGCGAGAGCCCCCTCCCTATTGGCCTCCCGGACCACGTTACCACACCAAGGTCGGGGGAGCGTAAGACCTGGGTTTGCCAGGACTCGGGTTCGCCATCGTTTTTTGACGACCGCGCTTCGGATTTTGACGAGGAGGAGTTTCGTGGGATGTCTGCAGCGGGAGGCCTCGTCAAAATGTAGGCTCGGCCTCGTCATTTTTTTGACGACCTCGTCGGGGATTTCCGAGTCCCCTGTACCCAGGTCTTACGTCCCCGACAAAGGGGGTCATCTGGAACCCGTGCCCGTCGTCGCTTCCTGGTTTTCCGCCAGGGAAAACAGAACCACCACCGCCAGCCAGAGGGCCTGGCCGCTCTCCCCCCGAGCTGGTGCCCCCCCGGTCTGGGCGCGCTCCCAGAGAGTGCCCGGAACGGAGTATCACCAACCGAATGGGGGGGGGGAGCTCTACGGTAGGTTCGCGTCGTGTCGACCGGCGGCGACCCCGCCGCCGACGTTCAACGTTGAACGCCGACGGCGGCCTAGAATCGGTCGATGTTGAACGATCGGACGTTGCGGAGACGGCCGATCGTTCAAGGTTGAGCGATCCCCGCGGTGTCAGAAACCAACGCTGGGGTCGGCACGACACGAACCTGCCGTATGTAGTTTTGGTGGTGGCGGCTTTTCCTTCTCTCAAGAGTTCTGTGAGGCCTGTAGATCGAGGCGTTCTGGAGCGGGGGCCTCCCTATGGGAGGAGGCCTGTGGAGAAGACAGGGAAAGGTAGGAGCAGCAGAAGGGTGAGGAGCAGGATGCGGACAAGGAGGAGTGGGATAAGGAGGACGATACGAAATGGTCGGGGGAAACGTAGGAGGAAGAGGGAGGAGGAGGAGGAGGAGGAGGAGGAGGGAGGGAGTAAAGGGAGGAGGCGATCGAAGCGGATCAGGACCACGACAACGACCAAGAGGTCGAGGAAATTCAGCGTAGACGTGCGTATTCTCTTAGAGGCGGCGATTGCGCCAAGGAAGGCAGATTCGCGCGCCTTGGGAGGAGAACAGTGAGGAGACAGGAGGCGAGCCTCTTCAATCGTATTCAGTCATTAAGGACGACGAGAGGGATTCTCTCCAAGGTAAATTCGGAGATTCCCATGCCCGTGGCCACCGTCGGAGAAATGTTAAATGGACGCGCGTTCTGTACAGTTGATGTTTCGCTGTCGCGTTTTCTTGTGAGCCCAGCGAATTCGTCCTTTGTCGCGACTCAGCGATGTGTCTGTAATGCCGTCGTTCGACATTGGGGCGTACCTTCTCCTCCTCCTCCTATTCCTACTCCTCCTCCTCATCCTCATCCTTCTCTTGCTCCTTGTGTTGTTGCTTGTTCGGTTACGGCCGCTCACCTTCGTGCTCCCTCCCCTCCTCGATCCTCATCCGCCTTCTCCTCATCCTCCCTCTCAACCGCCCACTCCTTCACATACTCGTCCTTGTCCGCCTCCTCCTGCCCTTTCTGCTGCTGCTTCTCCTCTTCCGACTTCCTGTTCATCCTGCTCATTTGATTTTCGTTTTCTTCAGCCTTGTCGTGCTCAGTGCTCTCTCTGCCACGTCTTCCTGTTAGCCATGTTGCATTCAGCCCCTCCTCATCATTCTCCCTTTCCGCCTCGCGACGCTGGCAGGAATCTCGGCGGGCGCCCAGAGCGCCCTCGAGAGGGCGAACTCAAAGTTCAAGGACGCATGCGCTGCTGCAGCCTTGTCTGTACGACGCCAATGGCGCCAGCAATGGAGGAGGAGGAGGAGGCGGAGGAGGAGGAGGAGGGCGGCGACGAGCAGGAGGAGGTGGAGGTCGACAACGACGAGGACAAGGCCAATCACGAAGGGGCAGGATGAGGAGGAGAAGAAGATGAGGAGGAGGAGGAGGAGGAGGAGGAGGAAGAGGGGGAAGAATAGGAGGAGGCGGAGGGGGAGGAGGAGGAGGGTGACTAGGAGGAGAAGCAGGAACATGAAGATGAGGAGGAGGAGGAGGACGTCGACGAGGAAGACGGGGATGGGGAGGAAGAGGAAGAGGAGAAGGAGGAGGAGGAGGAGGAGCAGGAAGAGGGAGACAAGAAGGAGGAGGAGGGGGAGGAGGGAGGAGGAGGAGGAGGAGGAGGAGGAGGAGGAGGAGGAGGAGGAGGAGGAGGGGGAAGAGGAGGAATTGAGACAACGCGCGGGAGAATGAGGGGGATCAGGACGAGGAGGAGCAGGAACAGGAAGAGGAGGAGGTGGAGGAGGATGAGGAGGAGGAGGAGGAGGAGGAGGACGTCGACGAGGAAGACGTGGATGAGGAGGAAGAGGAAGCGGAGAAGGAGGAGGAGGAGGAGGAGCAGGCAGATGATGATGAGGAGGAGGAGCGAATCATGAGGCAGTGAGGGGGGATGGACGGAGGGATGGGACGGATGGGAAGAGGAGGAACAGGAGGAGGAGGAGGAGGAGGAGGAGGAGGAGGAGGAGGAGGAGGAGCAGGATGAGGAGGAAGATGAGGAGCAGGAGGAAGAGGACATCCCCGCAGATTTTTGAATGGTTTCGATTCTATCGGCGGTTTGCGATGCGTTCGGGCGCCTTCAGGGCCCATCGGGTGCTAATTGGGTGCCGCTGGAGTGGCAGGGGATGGGTGGGTCAATGCAGGAGGGAGTGCAGAGGAGGGGGGGGTTGGATGTTCGGGAGGGGAAGGGAAACCAGGCCACGGGTGGATTCGAGAGGCATGTGGCAGAACGCAGACGGAGGAGGGGATGACGAGAAGTCCCGGGAAGCGGAGGAGGAATCGGATATGGAGACGGATCTGGGGGAAGGGCAGGAGGAGGAGGAGGCAGGACGAGAATGATGTCGTCGCCCACCCTCCGCCCCCTCCTTTCCTGATGCGCGGCATCGGCCACGCTGTCCCCCTGGCTCAACTTGCGTCCTGGAGCGGGGGCATGGCCCACCTGTGCGCAGGCAGAGGCTCCCTTCACCCTGGGCATGCGCCGCCGCAGGTCGCTGTCACGGTTCACGCGGTGCTTCCGCAGCGTGGGCAGACCACCCCGTCAGGCCGTCAGACTACCCAGTCAGACCACCCCGTCGGGCCACCATGAGCGGCCCGCGACAGAGGAGGCCAACACGAACGATTTCCTTCCAGACCTTCTTCGCCATGACCCGCCGCCGTCTCACCCATCAGCGGCACCCAGTGGCTGTGCAAAGCTCCCTGTCCGTCTTTCATGCAACCACCCCACACACAGACTTGTCTGGTGTCGCGGCCACGCGCGCGGCGCCGCGGCGAGGCGTGGGCCATGTCAAGCGAATGTTCGCGGGGCGGATCAGCTAACGCAGCATGGGGAAGCAGGGTCCGCCCATAGGGGATCGACAGCGACATTCGCCAGAGGGGGCAGTTTCGAGGGGAGATGGGAAGATGGAAAACGAAGAAAATGAAGGAAAGGAACGGGAAGGGCATTGCAACAGTGCAGGCACACTCGCGCCGGCGGTGGTCGCCAACGGGCGACGTAAACAGAGACGAGCTGCACGTTAAGCAAATGTACAATGTTGGATCGTATCGCGTACAAAACTGGTAGCTTGGGAAGCATCCTAGAGGGACCTCCGCGCAACCAAAAAGATTGTACATGCAGAGGAACAGCGAACAAATAATTCAGCCCACGCGCAGCAATGCGTTCACTTCCAGCTCACACATCCCAGCTTCTGCCCCAAGCTCACACCACATATAGTACACCACGTAGTTTACACACCTACCGCGTCGGTTCAGGCGAAGTACGTTAGGCTGGGACGAGAAACTTGACGCAAACGGGCGTCTTCCCTTATTCGCCTTCATCCGCCCGTACAAGCGTGGACAGACACAGTTCCTGTGAGGGGGCATCATGGGATCTATTGTTCGAGTCAGGCACATGCGTGGTGGTGGGACGGCACATACGCGAGAACTGCATAGCATCGGTCACGCCACCACCACCACCACACATGTCGATGCGTTTTGGAAATATCCGGATTGGACCAGGTGTTGTCGACATCTTGGCGATCACGGGGTACCCTCCACCTCTGTACGGGACGGGTGCCGCCAAGGAAACACAGGCCAAACACATAAACATGACGATGGACTGTACAAGCGGTCGATTCTTTTCAGCGCGAACACGATGTACGCCGATTGGCGCTTTCGATATCAACTCTGCGACGGGCACGAAGGAACACTCTGCGAAGCATGGACTTTGAAGAAGAGAGACACGGCGGGCTCCAAACCCATGAACGCCCTGGCCTCTCTCTTAGCATGGCGTGCTTGAACATGCTCTATCCAGAAGCAGGCTCGATGTTTCTGCGGCACACAAAGCGAGGACAGCGCGATCGACATCGGCATTACCTCCACCTCCTTCATGGATGGGGGTCAAGCAGTACACGTTGGCACGGTGAACGCACGGGCTCGGGACCCTGTTTCCCTGTTGCTCACTTTCGGGGACGTGATGCCCACCCGCGTGCGCGTGCAGGTACGACTCAGGTAGGTCTACACGCGCATGGCGCGAGCTAGAGAACAGGGCTCTGCCAGACTGGAGGTTCACTGTGAATTTGATAAGCGACTGGGGGCATGTGCCCAGCGGTAGCGAGTCTGCGAGCAGGTCCGCGGACATCGCGAAGCGTCTCTGGACGCTTTGAAACTTGACAATCGCCAACTGACATGTCAGATCAGACGGGCCTCTAAATTAAGCTACGCGACCCATCGCAACCAACAGTTTCCGGACTTGCTTGAGGCACGGTGGCTCCGACGCGCTGCCGACGTTCATCGCGGCGCCCGGCAGCTGGCGGGCATGGTTAGAGGAGTTGAGGACCGCATCTATTGCAGCTGGCCCAGCTTCAAACTGTCGCATGAACACTTGCAGACGCGCGTCGAGCGTTCTGGGCCACAAGGAGGAGGCATGGAGGCACAGCGCGCCAATCTCGACGGCGAGACCCCCCTGTTCCTGAGCGCAGGGGGACCCGACTATTCGATAGTGACATTTGCGTCGATGGATGTCGGGCGCCCTCTCGCGACGGATGCCGCGCCGACTCCGCAAATCAACGAAATCGCGCAGCGCGACGCGTTGGAGCGCGCCCGCGGGGATCGCAATCGCGAGTTTGGACCCGGCGTGGACGTCTGCGGCCCGTGGCCCCTTAACGGCAGGAGTTGCAGAGAAGCCCGCGTCGGCGGTTTCGGCTTCGGCGGCGCCGAGCGGGGCCCGGGGGCCCGGCGAGGTCGGCGGCGCAAGTGTAGAGACGGCGCGGGCCCCGAGGCGCTCGCGTTTCCCCGGGGGCATGCGCTGTAGAGTCAATTGCAGAGGCAGCTGGGCGGCGCCCGCGGTCTGGCGGGCCAGGCGCAGTTGCCGACGTTCCAACGCGCCGAGAGATCGCCGCGGACGGCTCGAAGGGCGAACCCTTCGAGGAGATGGAAGTGCCCGCGCGCTCGTTTGATTCGCCGCCGTCGCCCCCGGCCACCGCTGGATTTCCGCGCCTCGCGAGGGCGCGACGCTGGCGCGCGCGACGGCTGGATTGTTTCTGCGGCGTCTAAAGCCCGGTCGCGTCAACGAGCGCCCCGACCTCACCAGCGCCTTCCCGCGCCCTGGCGCGGGTGGCCCACTGCGCGCGGCAGGCGAGCTTGTTCGGGGGGGCCCCGCGGCGTTTGCTCGCAAGCGTCTCGTCGACATTGCTGCCTTGGCCCCCGCGGGCAGCAGGGGGGGGGATTTTCTACAGCGCCGCGACCGCCCTCAAGGATCGGGCGCCTCGCCGCGACAGTTGGCTAGCCTCTGCCAGGGCAGCATTTCGGATCGGCGGCGTTTCGCGCGGCGCCCTGGCGCCATGAACGTCGACATCATTGAGAGACGCCCGGGCAAATGCCCGTCTGGTGTCGCGGGGGCCTCCTGGAACAGCGGCGCGAAGGCGCCCGTCTGGCGCGGCGGAAGAAGCGATCGAATCTCCGCGTCGGGCGCCGACCGGCCCAACTTCACGTTTGACCGCTGTCGTTTCGCGCCGAAGAAGAATGAGAGATCTCGCCCACGTTTGGGGCCCCGCCCAGAGTAGTGCGAGCCCCAGGACATATGCCGCCCCCTTTCCGAGGCCAAGTAGCAGCCGGCGCTCGACGCCTGGGGGGCCGAATGGCGGCGGCCGATGGCGATGAATTCGACGTGCATTTGGGAACGAGAGCCACGATTGGGCAGGTGCCGGTTTGGGGAGTTTTGGGGCGAACGGGGCAGCTGGGTGAAAATGCGTGGAAGCGTTGGTTGATAGACCTCCTACCCTGACGCGTGGATTAAGGAATTTGCCGTTTTCGGTTCGCGAGATGGCGTCGCGGCCGTCATTTGTGCGGGCCCAGGTCCGTTGGTTTCGGTCTTCGGCCGCATTCCGTAAGGGGAGGTTTACTACAGGCAGGTTCGGCCACCGCCGATATGAGCTTTTTGGGGGAAGCGGTTCAAGCTGGAGTCTCGGGCCCGGGGGGCTACCGTTCTTACCCGGCCCGGGCGCGAGCGGCCAGGCCCCGGCGCCCCCGCGCGCTGTCGACCTCTCATGCAAAGCCGGGTTGCGACAGTTCTCGCCGACAAGCAAATCGCCGCCCGAAGTTGCGCGGGAGTTGTCAAACATGGGAACGCGCCCCCACCGAGAGCCGAGCTCGCGGATAGTAGAGCGAAGATTGCTCCGCTCGCGGACACATTATGCTTTCCATGTTCGGGCATGTGCTTTCGGGGCCCGCCGCGA